GTGTGTGTGTGTATGAAGGAGAACTTGGCCGAGAGGTGGGTGTGTGTATGTGTATGAAGGAGAACGTGGAGGGGGAGCTAGATGTGAAGGAGAACCAGCTGATGGACCCCAGGTGGGGCATGGCCACAAGCACCCCTGCCCAGAGCCATCTCGTTCTCCATGTAAATGGGGCAGGTCCTGAAATGGTCATTGGTTGGGGGAGAAGGGGTGTAGGGAGCCAGGGACTTCAGGCCCGGCCCAGGGCTGGTCCTCCTATGCCCCTGCCAGCTGGGCCCAGGTGCCCAGTGGGGTCCCTGCTGCAGGCTGCCTCTCAGGGGCCCCCAGACGCGCCTGAACCTATGATGTCTAGGGCTTTACTAGGACTGGCTGGAAGGAGAGAGGGGCTGGGGGCTGTGCCCTTCTCCCTGTCCTGGCCTCCGGGCTCTGGGCCATTTGAGGGGCTGTTGGAACTGTCTGGATTTGGAGCACCTCAGCACCCTGTCCCAGACAGAGGGTGCATTTAGCCAGCCGAGGCCTCCGGCCTGCCCGCTCACACCCGGCCATGAGAGGGCCCGCCCCGAAGCCAGGCTCAGACGAGCTTCGTCTCAGAGGACATTCTAGCCACCACCTCGGCCAGGGACCCACTGTGCCATGTTGTGGCCCAGAAATGAAACTGCCTGGGACAGAAATGTCCCAGGAGCTCATCCAAGGGGCAGTTCCGGCGGCCTGATCAAAGAGGCAGCCAGCCAGCTCCCGCCTGCGCTGACATAGCCCCATGTCCAGGGCGCAGCTGTGTGCAGCCCCTTCTGCCCCAACACAATGGCCCCAGAGCATGGCTTCCCTGGGCATGGGGAGTCAGTGCTGTCCTGCTTCTGCCCTGAGACACCCCATCCCACCTGCCGTGGCTCCTTCCAGCCGGCCACATTCTGACTTGGGCCGGCACTTTGAGGGAGATGGCGCCACCTCGGGCCACCCGCCAGAGCCCATGTTTTGAGGCTGAAGGAGACAGGATGCTGCCAGGCCAGGGCCAGGCTCCCCTCCGTCTCTGAAGGGCTACCCACTGCCTACCCTGGATTGGGAAGGCAGCTCTGAGGCAGAAACTGAGGGCAGGGAAAAAGTGGGGAGACTATTCCAGAACCAAACGGCTGTGGGCATCATCTGCCCCGGCCCCCTCCCCACCGGGGGCATCCCCTACTCACCACACCCAGGGAAAATCCGCCACCATCTCCTGCCATGCGACCTGGGGGCCTGACTCAGTTTCCCCACCTTGTCAGCAGGGCCCAGGGCCCTGGCCGGCTACTTCTGCTCCCCGTGAACCTCCACGACGACACGGCATGGTGGGTCCCTGGCCAAGGTGGCGACTGGAATGTCCGTCTGAGACGAAGCTCTTCTAAGCCTGGCTCCGGGGTGGGCCGTCTCATGGCCGGGCGCGAGGCCGGCTAAATGCACCCTCTGTCTGGGACAGGGTGCTGAGGTGCTCCAAATCCAGCCAGTTCCAACAGCCCCTCGGCCTAGAGCCCGCCCTAATGGGGCCCCGCCCCTCCCACCTCCAAGAGGAGGCCAGCCCAGGTCTGACGGTCACACTGTTGTCACTGTTCCTGTTGCTGGCCCCGTCTGGACGTTTGTGTCCAACTGCCAACTGGTCCCCACCACCGGGAGGCCCAGCAGGCATCTCCAGGAACCTCATCCCAGCAGATAGACCACCCCGACATGCAGCTGGCTCCTCTCCGCCTCCCCCTGGAAATCCTACTCCACCCCCAAAGCAGACCCAGAACCCGAACCTTCCTGCCATGCTGTCCCTGCCTGGCCCCTTCAGCCCATCCTCCACGTAGGCTAAGATCAGGACCTGGGTTAAATCTGCTCCTCCACTGCTCGCCCCTGCAGGGGTCCCCAGCCCCAGAGTGAGACCCTTCCTGATCCGGCACTTGTCCCCACCCCCCGTCCAGAGGTCCACGGGCCAGTCAGGGCCACAGGGAGGGCAGGCGGGTGGCATGCAGGGCTCAGCGCCTCCTCCCCCTGATGCAGCCACCATGCGGCCCGTGGCAGTGGGGTGGAAACTGGGTGGGGTACAGTGGCCCCTCTGCCCAGCATACTTCGTCCCCCCTGGGCCCTTGCTGGGAAGCGAGGAGGACTAGGTTTCTGTCCCCCAGCCAAGGGGCCGGGCCTGGGAGTTGTCCTAGTCTCACAGGCCAAAAGACCAAGGGGCCAGCCGGGGGCAGTGCCGGGAGACTGGGACTTGGGGTGAGCACCTGGCACACTCGGCAGAGTCGCCTCCCTCAGGAAACCCCACCCAGTAGGTGGACCCACCTGCATGTCCTGGGGACTCTGCCCCTCAGCACCCTCCCTCCACTCTGTCCTCTGGGTGTGTACCCTAGGGGGACACATGCTGCTGACTTCCCAGCAAAGGCCACTGTCAGAAGCCCCCGCAGGATCCATGTCTGCTGCAATCGCCACGGGCGGTGTGGGCAGGAGCCCCATTCAGTAAAGATCACGGGTTGCCACAGGACAGAAAAGGGAAGGAAAACCGCAGGGCCCACCCCCACATCTAGGGACCACGAAGGGTCCCTGGGACCCACCCTCATATTTGAGGACCGGCTCCCTGGGCCTTGTTGTTGGTGGGCCTAGGAGGGACCCCCTGGAGGGTCCTGGGGAAGGGCGGGTGCAGGGAGCAAACTCAGGAACCAGGGGTTGTGGGGGCCCGGCAGCAGGCCTCCCGCCCAGCACGACCCTCCCTGTTTATTAACCTGTCTGCTCTGTGGGGACGTTCTGTGCTTGTGTGCAGCCTGCTGACCTGCACGGACGGGCATCGGCCCATGAATGAGGTTATTGTATGCCTCGGCCACTCCGCCGGCCTCCAGATTAGGACCCTGTGCACGCCCCTGCCCCCCCAACTCCCTGCTAAGACACAAGGACCCAGCGTCTCCCTCCTTCCCAGCACCCCCCTCCCCACTGTGGCATGGACACCCTCCCTAGGCCCAGCCGCCATGCCCGCTGGAGAGAGGGTCCTGGGCCAGGAGAGAAGAGGGGGTGGTGCCAATCCTCTGAGGGTGGGTGGGGGCAGAGGCCCCTGAGCAGCAGGGGAGAGGCGGGGAGGGCCATCCCCTCCCTTCTCGTGTCCAGCAGGGATGTGGGCGATACACCTGGGGGGCTGCTCCCACCCTGAGCGTCCATTTCCATCCTCTCCTGCCCATCTCTCCTGACCTCGCACTTGCCTGGTGGGACAGTGGCCTGTCCGTGCCCCCAGCTCTGGACATGCTGTCTGCCCCCCTCCACACTCTGAGCTCCTGAGGCAGGCAGGGGGCTGGGATGCTCACACGTACCTCCAGCCCCTCTGTCACTGAGCTCTGCCTGCTGGCAAGCCTCCTCTGTTTGGGGACAGAACCCCCTCTGTGGGCTGGTGCCCTCCCCCACAAGGCAGCCCTCCCAACCTCTGCCTGATGGGCCCCGACCGCACCCTCCCCCGGCCTCACCTTGGGCCTCATAGCCGGCCAGGTCAGGCTTCTCTGTGGTCACTGTGTCAGTCAGCCGGCCCAGGACCAGCTGCAGCTGCGCCACATTCATGCGGGCCGTGAGCTCCCCGTTGCGGTCTCCGATCTGCATCAAGTGGGGTGGGATGAGGGGCCGGCAGGAGGAGAGGCTCTGCTGGGGGCTCTCAGGGGATGGCCCCCCAGCCTATTGGCTGGCCTGGCACAGGCAATCACTATGTCCCCCAGCAGTGGAGTCTGTCCCTGGGTGGGGGGCCCCACATGCTCCCTAGAGCCCCCTCTCAGAGCCCAGACATGCTGGGATCTCAGGTAGTCCGGCCTGTGACGTGGGGGCCCTCAGCAGGCAGTGTGGCCCACCTGCCACACCTCCCTCAGCCCAGGGCCTGGTCTCTGTCCCTCGGGCACCTGACAGCCCAGCTGCTCCCTCTCCCCTGCTCTGCACTCAGTGAGGACCCTCCCTGAGCGACTTCCATCTCCCAGAACAAGCCCGTTTGCCTCAGTCACCTCCGAGAAGGGCAAGGCTGTGGGGGTGCAGGCTCCAGCAGCCACAAGGCGGCTGGCCCTCCTCCCACGAGCACCCCTGTCCTCTCGCCCGGAGCCCCAGGAGCCCATCTCCACCTGAGCACCTGTGGTCCTCCGCCCAGGTGCCTCCACATGGGGCTGAGGAAGTCCAGGGTGCCTGGGCCATTTTAGCATGGACAGACTGGGGAGCAGGCACAAGAGGCAGATGTGCCCTTGTTACTGGGGCTGCTTCCTGGAGGTAGGGATCGGGGTGAGGTGAGGAGAGGGAAGGCCGGGCTCAGCTGCTGTCGGCTGCCCTGAGCACAGTATCAGGGATGACAGAAGGGTCCTGGGTGGGAGGGCCCCAGAGTCCCCAGCTCTCCTCAAAGGAGGAGGGAGACTGCCTCCAGGGAAGGCCTGGCCCCGAGGGAAGGTGCCCTTGGCTGCTTCGGGCAGACTGTTTTCCACCCTGGGTGTCGGGCACAGGCCACCCCGTGGCCCAGCCTGGCCTGGTGCCTGGTGGAGCTTCCACTGAAGGGGTGGGAGGACAGAAGAATCAGGCCTTGGGTCAGCCTGAGTGGACACTAATGTTTCAGGGATGAGTGGTCTCCACCCCACAGGCTGGGGGAACAGCACCCCCCACCCTATAATCTGAGGGAACAGCAGCCCCCACCCCACAGGCTGGGGAAACAGCACCCCCCACCCCACAGGCTGGAGGAACAGCACCCCCCACCCCACAGGCTGGGGGAACAGCACCCCCCACCCACAGGCTTGGGAGGAACAGCACCCCCAGCCATAGCCCCAGCAGAAAAGCATCTATGAGGCCTCTGAAGGAGAGGGCGGTGGCCCCAGGCAGCACACCATGCCAGCCCAGGAATGACAGTGGGGGACACTCCAGAGGGGACGAGGCAGGGCGGAAGGGCCTGGGAGGTCTGGAGACGCAGCCTGGGACAGGGGTGGGGCTCCAGGGCCAGCTCACCTCCTGAGAGATCTCCAGGTGCTTCTTGGCGAAGTTCAGGGCCTGCGCGGGGCTCCCCATGGACACGTAGGCGTTCCCCAGACTCCAGCATGCCCGGCCCTCGCCCACTCTGCAGACAGGGAACAGAGTCCACGCCTGCACGCACTCCCCAGCCGCCAGCTGTCCAACCCCCAGCCTCCTGGTGGCCAGGGCCTGTTGACAGCAGGCAGTCCTGGGCCTCAGGATGGACTCTGGGAGGGACAGAGGTGGCAGCCCACACCTGTGACCCCAGGAAGGCTGTGTGACCCAGCAGTCACCAGGGGCCCCCAGCCCTGAGGGGCATCAGCAGAACCAGGCATCCATGGCCGCAGGGACCACACTGAAGCAGCACTGAAGCCAGGACCTCCACAAACCCGCAGCCCCTAAGGAAGCGCTCCAGCGTGCTCTGGGCCGGCTCAGAGCCTTCCCGAGGGAACAGAACCCGTCGTAACCCAGCCCCGCCTCCGGCGGGGCTGCACTGGACCCTCCCGGCACACTGGGGCAGCCAGGGCCGGGCAGGGCAGGACCGGGAAGAGCCGGGTGGGCGCCCTCTGCCTGGCAGGCTCCCGCTCACAGCCTCGCTTACCCTTTAGTGACTGGCACGGCTCTCACCCCCACGCTCACCCCACTGCGACCCCAGTCCTATGGGCCCTTTCTAAGCCCCCTGGCAGGGCAGCCTTTTGATAGACCCCCTCCTGTCCTCTCCCCACGAGAGGCCCACAGACCACAGCTTTGAGTCTCGTCCTGGCCCCTACCCAGCTGGGGAAGAACCAGGCCTTTGAATAACTGTCTCTTTCTATAAAGGCTGATGGTTAAACACGTGTATGCGGAGACGCATAGTGATCCTGCAGAACTACCCCACAGGGTTTCCAAGAAGTGACTGGTGGATTCGAACTGCCGAACTTCTGGTTAGCAGCTGAGCGCTTAACCACTCGACTCGACGGCAACGAGTGGTTTTTTTTTTTTTTGGTATGGAGAGAGAAGAGAGCCCTGGTGGTGCACTGGTTAAAAGCACTCAGCTGCTAACCGAAAGGTCAGTGGTTAGCACCCACCAGCCGCTCCTCGGGAGAAAGATGTGGCAGTCTGCATCCATAAAGATCACAGCTTTGGAAACCCTATAGGGCAGCTCCACTCTGTCCTGTAGGGTCGCTATGAGTCAAAATCGACTCGACCGCAGTGGGGAGTGGGTATGGGGAGACAGATCTCTCAAAGGGACAGTGGGCTGGGCGACTGAGGGCAGTCCGCATACTCACTCAATCCTCGGCCACTGTCACCAGGACGATGGGAGGTGGGGGCCCAGGGTGGGGCTGGCTGGCAGCAGAGCAGGGCTGAGGCCTCTGCCACTGTAACAGGTCGTGGCTAAGCCAGGTGGGCACACACACCTGTCGGCCAGCTCCTGGGCAATGAGCAGGTGGCGCAGGTGGTACTCAGCAGCTCGCTCGTGGTCCTGCAGCAGCGTGTAGGTGTTGCCCAGGCTGTAGCAGGCCTGCGCCTCCACCACCTGGTCCTTGAGCTGCCGGGACAGCTGCAGCGTCTTCCTGTGGAGGGGGCAGGCGGCCGTCAGCCCCTCCCAGGAAGGGAGGGTCCAGTGTCCCCCACCAGGCAGGTCATGGCCAGAGGACATGACTGCTTACGACCCCCTACTCCAGGGCAGAAGGTGGGCACTGGGGGAAGCCCGTCGGTGGCTGGCAGTGCCTGACTACTGGGACCAGGCAGATGTGCCACCCCTGCCCCCCAGGCTCTGCCAGTACCTGGAAGCTCCTAACCCCCTGAGACTCCGCTGTCCATGGGGAACCTGGGCCAGCACCCACCTCTGGGGTCCTGAGAGGGTGCATTTCAGAAACCCGGTCTCCCAGGAAGCAGGCCAGCCCAGGGCCCTGGCACAAGTTTGAGTGCCCACCAGCCCACACGGTCCTATGCTGCCGTGCTTCGGTTTCCCTTTCTGGCCAGGCAGATGCTTATACTCGCACCCCAGAGCTACATGAGGAGCAACTGTGGAAGGTGGTTCCCCCAATAACCGGCACCCCAGAGCCCTTGGCCCAGGGCTGTCTGTGGTCGCCTCCCACCCCCAACATGCAGCCAGCCACACAAGGGTGGGGCCACGCGGTCCTGGCATACGCAGGCCTCCGTCCTCAGCGCGAGCCCTCCTCAGGGCCCACTCGCCTGGGACGGCAGAGTGGGGTGGGGAGCTGCCTACTTGTAGTACTCGGCCGCGACATCGAAGCGCCCCAGGAAGATGTGGGCATTCCCCAGGTTGCTGTAGGCCCTCCTCTCAGCCGCCTTGTCTCCAAACTCCTTGGCAATGGCGAGGCGCTGAGGAAACAGACAACTGAGGCCCGGGAGGGGCCGCCTCCACTGACGGTCCCACCCCACTGAGCTCAGGACTGTGTCCAGGTTAGCGGCCTGACGTCTCTGTGTCCAGAAGGGGCCCCAGGACCGAGCGCAGACCAGGTAAGGGGCCTATGGGGCATCCCTGCCGCCCAGCCCCACCCTGCTGCTGACAGGCAGACCACCAGGCCAAGCGATGCCTGCTCGCCAGCCACTCACCTCCTTGTGGAAGGCAATGGCCTCCGTGAAGTTGCCCAGCAGGTAGTGAGTATTGCCCAGGTTGCCGTAGGCTCTGCCCTGGGCCGCCCGGTCACCCAGCTCCTTCACCAGGGACAGGTTCCTCCTGGGGGTAGGCCTGTCTGAGCCGGGGCCCCGGTTCAAGGCTGGAGGACGCCAACCTGCGGCTTGCTCACGTGACCCCACTGGGGGCGTGCCGGGAAGCGGCCAGCGTCCTTCCACGCAAGGGCCCTGCACGTCGCACCCCCGGCTCCGCCTTCAGGGGTGGCTCTGTCTTCCTCCCACCCACTGGCCCACTGCCCTGGCCCTTTCCAGCCAGGTGCCCTCTCTTTCTCTGCTTCTTTCCACCGCTGCGGGTTACCGAGAGGTGGAAGACCAGGGCGCTTGCCGGGGTCCCGCCGCGTCCCTGGGGACAGGTGCAGCAGGGGCGCAGCCGGGCCAGCCTGGGGTGCTCGGGGCCTGGGGTGCCCAGCACGGGGCAGCCTGCAGCAGCTCAGGAAGGGCTTGTGGATTGATGCCTGCCCCCTGCCGTCTGGGGCACCCGCCGCCCGCGCACTTACTCGTAGAAGTCGGAGGCCCTGCGCAGCGTCTCCCGCACATCAGGTGGCAGGTGCCCGGGGTCCTGGGCAGCACGCCAGGACAGCTGCTTGCCCTTGGCGTGGCACACATTGCCAATGTTGTAGAGGGCCCGCGCCTCCCCAACCTGCAGTGGGCAGCACCGAAGAGTGGGGCTGTGCCCACCACGTCCCAGAAGGAGCCCTCCAGTCACTGGTGGGGACGTGGCGGTTCGTGGGGGAAGGCACACCCAAGGTGTGTGTTGGGGGTCCCTGCGGCCGTTTACCTGCCTTGCCAGGACGGGAGGGATGGCAGGAGGCTATACCTTCAGGGTCACAGTAAGTCCAACCTGGGGGCTTGCCAGGGTGGCCCCCAGCACAGACAGCAGGGCAGTGGGGCTGGGTCCCAGGAGGGAAGTCTGGCCACTCAGGCTACACCTGTCTGCTCTCCTCCTCCGTCCCCCCGGGGGGACAGCCAGGCCCCCGCCCTGTCCTCTGATACCCATGAGTAAGAGCCAGACGCTGGGGCCCGGCCGGGCCACCTCTGGCCCTGTGACTTCTGAAGTCACCTCTCTGCGCCCCACTCTCCTCATCTGTAAAGCATGATGCTCGTCTCACAGGGAGGGAGGGAGGTCAGCACAGTGCCAGGGGCCGCGGCTGCAGCTGCCGTAACCACTGTCCTCACTGTCACCAACCTCTGCCCCCTGCCCCCGGCCCGTGCACCCTCCTCCTCCACCCTCTTATCCTCACTCTGAGGCCCCAGGAGGGGAGAGCGGGGAGGCCACGAATTCAGGGGGAGGTTGGAAGAAGGAAACCAAGCATGTAGGTCATGTAGGTGGGGGATTGGGTGGGGCGCCAGCCAGGGGAGCCAGTCTCAGCCCTGTGGCGTCGGGTGTGTGGCCAGGCGCCCGTCCTGGGTGGCCCCGTCCTCATCTGAGTCACCCGAGGTCCAGGGGACTGTCCTGGCTCCTCCCTCCCACGGGGATTGGGGTGGGAGGGGCCGACACCCACCTTGTCCCCCTGCTCCTGGGCGATGTCCAGGTGGCGCTGGCAACAGACGACAGCCTCGTCAAAGCGGCCCAGGACCTTGAGCGTGTTGCCCAGGTTCCCGCTGGCCTTGGCCTCCCCCATGCGGTCACCAATGGTCCTGCAGGGCAGTAGGCGAGGGGCAGGGTGAGGGGCCCCTGAGCCCAGGGCAGCCTGGGGATGGGCGCGGGCCAGGGGACCACTGGGCAGGGCCGCACGGGCAGGCGAGGTGCCCACAATCCGTCCTTGCTGCATCTCCTCAGCTCCTCCTGCGCCGCCTGCAGGGGTGCTGTGAGTGCCACTTGGGACCTTGGGACCTGGGCAGAGCCTGCAGCTACTGGGGCTGGGGACCCGGAACAGAGTCCACCGTGGGGCTCGGGCCTGGTCTTGGAGAGCTAACTTCACGGTGATTCGTTCAGTGCTCACATACGGTGTGCTGGAGGTGCAGTTCTGCGCTTGGTGCAGATGGCGGGGAGGAAGTGTGGCCAGGGCTGGTGCCAGGGGCCTGTGGGAGCCCAGAGGGTGTCCCCACCCGGGGGTCAGGGCTGGCTGCAGGCAGAGACCTGCAGCCTGAGGCCCAAAGGGGTGAGAGCCAGGGCAGGGGGCACAGCTGCACAAGGCCTGAGGCCAGAGAAGGGTTGTCGGGGCTGGTGCAGGAAGGAGGCACAGAGCCTGCTCAGGAGGTTGGGCTTCGTGGGGGACAGGGAGAGCCCAATGAGAGCAGGAAACACTGCAGGGGGTCGGGGGAGCGAGCCCGGAGCCCTGGGAACAGCTCCGTCCTCTGGATGGTTCTCCTGCTCCCAACTTCACACAGACACGGAGAGACACGTGTGTGCTCAGACACACGGAGCCACAGAGGCCAGCACGCTCGTGCACATGGAGAGACATGAGTGTGCTCACACAGACATGGAGAGACACGTGTACTCAGACACACGGAGCCACAGAGGCCAGAACGCTCGTGCACACGGAGAGACGTGTGTGTTCACACAGACAGTCATAGAGAATGGCACACTGCACACATGGGCACATGGGGACACGTGCGCTCACACAGACACAGTCACAGAGACTGGCACACTTGCACAGACACATAGAAATACACGCATGTACTCACACAGACGCAGAACACTCAGTCATGCCCACGCTGCAGGCACATGGACAGGGAGACAATCGTGCTCACAGACACGGAATACTCGGTCACACACACACGCTCACACATGCGCTTACAGACAGAATACCTATGCCATGTACGTGCTCACACACGGACAGACCCCTTGGTCACCCATGGGTGCAAAGACACACTCACACGTGCCTTGTTTACACACGGCGTCACACTGCTCCTCACACGCCCTCAGGCAGGGGCAGGGCCCTCCGGTCCACCCGGCACCCGGACACTGCTCCCGGCCGCGCTCGGCCCCGCTCACCTAGCCAGCAGGAGGTCGTGCTTGTGGTAGTCAAGTGCCTGGGCATACTCCTTCAGGTAGAAGTAGGCATTGCCCAGTTGGCTGTAGATGGCGCTCAGCGTCTTCAGGTCCTCTGTGCCCACCTGCACGGCCGCCTCGAAGAAGGCCACGCCGGCCTTGAAGTCACCGGCCTTGCACAGCCGCTCACCCTCCAGGGCCAGCTCCAGGCACGAGGCCTCCATCCTGAGGGTGAGGGGGGGCAGTGTTGGTGAGCTCCTCGGCCAGGGCCGTCCCCCATCCCCTGTCCCTGTCCGAGTCTGCCACTGCCGCCCAGAGCCTCAGCAGTGAAGGCCCGCGTCTGTCACCACACGAGACCTTCAGTGGGCACTGGCCAGAGGCTGGCTTCTGGCCAAGCTCTGGGGCAGGAGCTGGCCTCACACCCTGCCTTCCCCCAGATAACCCCAGCCACACAGGCCGAGGGGCCACACTAGGCCCCGGGCGCGCGTCAACCTCCTGGGCAGCCACAACACCTCTGGGAAGGCCCTCAGCTCCCACAGAGGACGAGGCTGGAGAGGCCACACGGTGACGTGGCCACGCCCCCACAGCTCTGGGCAGCACCAGCATCAGCCCCCACCGCCGTCCTCCCCTCCCCGCACCCAGGGGGGGCCTCTGTGGGGCATGGCTGGTCTGGGCGGAGTCCCCACCTGAGAAGCCCAGTCTGGTCGGCCAGGCCTACCCTGAGACACAGATGCTCCTGCCATGCTTCCCCCCACCCCACTCCCTGCACTGCTGTGGGGAGGAAATGGACGCTACCGCATCCCAGGATGAACTCGGCCCGGAAACCGCCCCAGCTCCTGCCCCACGGAAGCCCTACACACAGGAGGTGGCAGACTTGACCTCCCCACCCTCTAGCAGGGGCTCCCAGAAGCCCCTCACTCTTGGCCCTGCACAGCCCCCCAAGGAGGTTTGTCCCCAGCTGCTACCCCAGGGCCCTGCTCCCACTGGGGAACACCACAGCCCCAGGCCTCGGGCGAGCTTTCCCCAGGAGCTGGCAGTCAGGGGGCCCATGAGCTGGGGGCCGCTCAGCCTGCTAGCCCTGCCCCTCCCTGCTCCGTCCCTCAGATGTCCCTCCTCCTTGGCCATGGAGGTCCAGGACAAAGGCCTGGGGTGGAGGACACAGCAAACGATGAGGCGGGGCAGCCGGTGTGAGCAGGGCAGGCCTGATCCCCAGGGCGCGCCCCCAAAGGACAGGAGGGCTCCAGGCAAACCAGGCTGCGGGGCCTGCAGCGAGGTGGCGGGGGGGAGCCAAGGAGAGGATGCCCATCGAGGGTGTCTGCCCGACACCCCTGGGTCAGCGCAGTGGAGCCGTTCGGGCGCACTCACTCATTTTCTCGCCATTGCTTTTGATACCCTGGGAGTGCGTCACACCTACCAGTACCTGCTGCCATCAGGTCAACTTCGACTCGTGGCAGCCCCACACGTGTCAGAGTACAGCTGTGCTCCACGGGGTTTTCAACGGCTGATTTTTCAGAAGTAGACTGCCAGGTCTTTCTTCTGAGGCTCCTGTGAGTGGACTCGAACCGCCAACCTTTTGATTAGCAGTCCCGCACATTCACCGTTTGCATCAACCAGGGACGCGTCAAAAGCACACATTTAAAATGTCCACATGGACAGGCACTGCCCCCTTCTGCGTTGCTGAAGTTTGTGCAATGATCGTGAGTTACTGCCCTCGACAACCCCTGTGTGAGACCAACGTAGTCCCTTAAAGAAGGGCTGTCGAGGGCAGGGCTCCCAGCCTTTCTGACCCAGCGCCCCCTCGGACGGTGCCGCGTTCTCTACTAGAAATCATAGTGTCTCACACTTTCGCGCCATGTGGACACACTGGGGACCATATGTTTGGAGTCAACGCTGTCTCAAGGAAGCTGGCCCGGGGCCCCTACAGGCTCCAAGGCTTTCTGCTGGGGAAGCCCCCCTTCCGCACGCCCACTCACCCAGCCTCGCCTGACCCGAGCCCCGGCCTGGCCCCGAGCCCCGCTGGCTGCCTTCGGACACCGACTGCGGCACCCAGACCCCTCACCCAAGCCATGCTCTCTGCTGGCCGTGCCCCCAACACACCTAGGGGTCCCCGGCTTTCTCTACCACCTGGCTCCCCTGACCACTCTCTCCTTCTCAGACCCCTGTCCCCACCCTGAGGGTCTCCAGGAGAGGGGAGTGGGCCCCACCCTCAGGATGGGGTGGGCAGTTGGCAGGGTGGAAGAGGAGTCCAGATCTGAGTGGGCCCAGATCTCAGGCCCCCCACTAGTCAGACTCTCAGGGGCAGCCATGCCTGCCCCAACCCAGGCCGACCCTCTGCCTGGGCCCAGATCTCGGGCCCCCCGCTAGTCAGGCTCTCAGGGGCAGCCATGCCTGCCCCAGCCTAGGCCGACCCTCTGCGTGGGCCCAGATCTCGGGCCCCCCGCTAGTCAGGCTCTCAGAGGCAGCCCCAGCCCAGGCCGACCCTTTGAGCTGGCCCAGATCTCAGGTCCCCTGCTAGTCAGGCCCTCAGGGGCAGCCCCAGCCCAGGCCGACCCTCTGAGTGGGCCCAGATCTCAGGCCCTCTGCTAGTCAGGCTCTCAGGGGCAGCCCCAGCCCAGGCCGACCCTCTGAGCGGGCCCAAATCTCAGGCCCCCTGCTAGTCAGGCCCTCAGGGACAGCCCCAGCCCAGGCCGACCCTCTGAGTGGGCCCAGATCTCAGGCCTCCTGCTAGTCAGACTCTCAGGGGCAGCCCCAGCCCAGGCCTACCCTCTGAGTGGCCAAGTGTCGAGAGTGGTGCCAGCCCAGAGCCCGTGTCCACTGCCTCCCAGGCCCCTTGCAGTACTCCTGCCCGGTCTGCCTGCCGAGGCGGCCAGGAGTATGTGAGTGTGTGTGTCTGTGTGTGTGAGTGTGTGTGAAAGTGTATACGTGTGTGAGAGAGTGTGGTGTGTGTGTGTGTGTGTGAGAGACTGTGTGTGTGTGTGTATGTGTGTGTGTGAGAGAGAGTGTGTGGGGTGTGTGTGTGTGCATGTGGTGACCTGCCCCCTGGCCTATAGTCAGGGCAGTGTGGCCAGGACACTGTGTGTGTATGTAAGTGTGTGTGTGAGAGACAGAGTGTGTGTGAAAGAGACAGAGTGTGTGTGAGAGACAGAGTGTGTGTGAGAGACAGTGTGTGTGTGTATGTGTGAGAGACAGTGTGTGTGTGTGAGAGACAGTGTGTGTGGGGTGTGTGTGTGAGACAGTGTGTGTGTGTGAGAGACAGAGTGTGTGTGGGGGGTGTGTGTGTGAGAGACAGTGTGTGTGTATGAGAGACAGAGTGTGTGTGCGAGAGACAGAGTGTGTGTGGGGTGTGTGAGAGACAGTGTGTGTGTGAGAGACAGAGTGTGTGTGTGAGAGAGTGTGTGTGGGGTGTGTGTGTGTGTGTGTGGTGGCCTGCCCTCTGGCTTATAGTCAGGGCAGCGTGGCCAGGACAGTGTGTGTGTGTGCACGCACGTGTGGTGGTCTGCCTCCTGGCCTATAGTTAGTCAGGGCAGTGGTCAGGAGAGTATATCTGTGTGTGTGTGAGTGTGTGTTGTGTGTGTGTGTGTGAGTGCGTGTGTGTGGCGGCCTGCCCCCTGGCCTATAGTTACAGAGTCAGGGCAGCGGCCACCAGGACCTGGCTGGGACCGTGGGTCAGTTCTTTGAAGGCAGGATGTGACCCGTTCACAGAAGGCAGGCACCCACCCATGGCAGAAGAAGATTGTGGACTCTGCTGCTCACCCTGCCTGTATGGGTCTCAGTCAGATGTCCAGAAAACAGGGACACAACCACAGCTCAGGGGCGCCGGGTGATACAGCCCCCAGCTCTGCGGGGGACACCTTGAGATGGCAACAAGCCCCCCGGCCGCCCGCCTGGCCATGGCAGGCCAGGGCTCCCGCTGCCCTCGGGCTGGCCCTCAGGGTCCTCTGCAGCCGCCTCCCTCCCTCCCAAGAGCCCTGGGCAGGGCCATTCCGGAGGTCATGTCCCTACAGTCACCATGGCAACCGCCTGCGCCAGCCCCACTCCGAGACACCACCATGCACCCAGCTTCTTAATTAACACCTGCTTGTCCTTGGACAGCTGAGGGTCAAGGGGTCTGATGGTCTCATTGCCACAGCCTTTCCAGGTGATTGCGGCAGGGAGAGGAACCTGGGGGCTGAGACAGGGTGGTCCCAGGTGCAGTACACCCTGCTGCACCCAGCAGACAATGCTGGGGCTGCCTCCCTCCACCCCCTACCATTCCGTTCCCTCCCCAGCCAGGTGACCCTCACTTCCCACTGGGGATCTAACGAAGCCCTGGTAATGAGGGAGACCACCTGGAGAGACACAGGTGGGTGTCCACAGCGCCTCTGCTTCTCCCAGCACCCCCCCCCAGCACTAGGCGGCTCGACTCATGGCACCCCATGTGTCAGAGTAGAACTGGGCTCCATGGGGTTTCCAATGGCTGATTTTTGGGAAGTAGATCACCAGGCTTTTCTTCCCAAGCTCTTCCAGGTGGACTCGAATCTCCAAACTTCCGGTGAGCAGATGAGTGCGTTAACTGCACCACCCAAGGACCAAGACACTCCCAGTCCCACCCGTGACCCTCCTGCACGGCCCCCCTCCCCGCTACGCCGTGGTGCCCATACCTGCTGCGCCACAGGTTTCGCGTCCTCTGCAGGTACAGCCACAGCTGCAGGCCAACTGGCAGCAGCATCGTGACTCCGGTCCCCCCTGCCCAACCAGCCCCCACTCACCACAGCCGCACACCCTGCAGGCCGCACTGGCCTCCTTCCCAACCAGGGCGGTGGGCCCACGGCTCAGTGGCCTCAGCTTTGGGAGACACCGGGCCTCCAGGCAGGTCCCTAGAAGCCAACAGGGACCATGGGATCAGGGGTGGCTCAGAGTCAGGATCAGGACGTCAGCGGGCAGGTAATCCCTCCAGGGGGCGGGGCGGGGCAGGACCCTGTGGCAGGAGCCAGGCGGAGTAGGTGCTAGATCAGTGTTCGTGAATGAGGAGAGAAGGGAATTGGGCCTGGGTGTAGTTGCCTGCCAGCCCCGGCCCCTTCCCTCCCACCCACCACTGACCCGTCTGGAGGACCCACTGTAGGGGCAGGCAGTGATTGCCCAGGCCATGAGGACACCCTGTCCCTGGGCCATGGAGTATGAGCAGAGGGCAGGAACCAAGGACACGCAGGAAGGGCGTGGAGGCCAGTGTGCAGGAGGCACACTC